TGGAAATTTGGAGACACTGGAGCGGGTCTTCTCACTTCTTTGAGAGGCTACCACGTGACAGGAGCCACGTCACCTGCAAGGAGGCCAGGTGGGTTCCGAGGTCTGCAGATGTCTAATCTGGAAGACGAAATACCAGTTTGAATTTGTGGAGGAAGGCAGTCAGGAAAGGGGTGTGACCCGTAGAGTGAAATGTCGTCAGCACGAAGCTCAGCTCTTTTGGAAAGGGAGAGGTGTTAGAGAACAGGCTTGAAGCGTCTTGGCCCTGTTGCCAACCTATTCCAGCAGTCTTTGAAGATTGGGGTCCTATGGGTACGTCTCCCCCTTTTCTCATGGGACTGGGTGCGGCAGGCTGGTGCTTGCCTGATGCCGTGAGATTCTATCTCATCCCACCGCTCGTGAGTGACAGCTTCCGTGCTCTCAGACACCCTGTCATTTGGTCATGTAACTTTCAACATGGGCCCTGCTACCAGTCTTGAATTGATTCTGGGATTTCAGTTATTATTCTAGTCCCTATGACAGTTCATTCATCATCATCAATTTACTCACGGTTTTATGCAATGCATACATCAATCTTACAGGCTTGGATAACCTCTGCCTACCAAAAAGAGAGGGATCTAGGCTGGGCTAAGGTCCGTGTATTATGCCCTTGCCCCCTCCCCCTCAAGTCATGAGCTTTAAGCGTGACCATCCCCAAAACGTTGCACATCACACTCATTAGGTATGTATATATCCCATCCTTCCCCCCTCCCACCCACTGCCTGCACCCGACTAAATGTTTCTCCTATGTGTCCACTGGGTGTTGATCATATTAATACCTTTGCTGGTGAGTCCATGTGGTGCTTGTTTTCCATTCTTGAGATACTTCACCTTAGTAGAATGGGTTCCAGCTCTATCCAGGAAAATACAAAGAGTGCTAGATCACCATTGTTTCTTAGAGCTGAATAGTGCTCCATGGTATACATATACCCCATTTTATTATCCCTCCATGTATTGATGGGTACTTGGTTTGTTTCCACAGCTTTGCAATTGTGAATTGTGCTGCTATAAACATTCCAGTGCAGGTGTCTTTTTTGTAGAGTGTCATTTGATCTTTTGGGTAGATGCCCAGTAGTGGGACTTGCTGGATCAAAAGGGTAGATCCACTTGTATCATTTGAGGTATCTCCATATTGCTTTCCACAGAGGCTGAACTAGTTTGCAGTCCCACCAGCACTGTAGGAGTGTTCCTCTCTCTCTGCATCCACGCCACTTATTGTTTGGGGACTTTTTGATAAAGGCCAGCATTTAATACTCACGTAAAAACCGACCCACTTCAAAAACAGGAACATGGATTTTAAATTGTTTCTCATCTTTCTCCCACACATGTTCAAGTTATTTCCTCTCATTATATAAAAATATGTCTAAAAGTAACAATTTTAAACTTATTTACATTACAGTTTTAGACAAAACAAGATAATTTAAAATATATTCCAAAAATGTAAGCATACACATTGAATGCTTTTCTGGTTTTGTTTTTGTTTGGATGAAGACAGAGAAAAAATAAATGGTGAGGTTTTAAACAGGCAACCACCACATAGATCTAACTCACTGGGATCCTCTTCTATTTTTCTCCAGTGAGAATTTATGTTCACCAATGAATTTTAAATTTGTCAAGATCTCAATCGTTGGAACCACGCAACAGATTTAACCGGGTCCCTTGTTACGATGTTGGCAACACCTTACACAAAAATACAAGTTCTACGAAGGATAATGAACACAGAGTATTTTAAACTGCCTATTACACCTTCTAGTGAAAATTAAACGAAATGAGATTCAATCCACTCCTCACTGCTTCCCTAGAAAGAATGCCAACCAAGTGCCTACCTCACAAAAACCAGCAATGAGATTATCACTTAACTCCCAAGTGAGAATGCCTTTATCAAGAAGTCGCCCCAACAACAAATGTGGATGCGAGAGAGAGGAACTACACCCCACAGACTGGCTGGTTGGGACTGCAAACTAGTTAAACTCTGTGACAACAAGTATGGAGACACCTAAAGCGATAACAAGTGGATCTAACCCCATCTGGATCCACGCAATCCCACTACTGTGGCATCTACACAATAAGAACAAAAGTCACTTTATGAAAGAACACACCGTGCACTCCGAATGTTTATAGCAGCACAACCTTCACCAATACAAAGTTGTGGGATACGACCCAGGTGCCCCATCAATTCATGAGTGCATTAATAAATTTGGTAAATGCACCTGGAGTAGCTACTCAGCCTTTAAGACACATGGGTGATCTAGCACCTCTTGTCATTTTCCTTGGATTTTTACAGAGCTTGGACCCTTCTGCTAAGTGAAGTATCTCAAGAATGGAAAAACAAGCACCACATGGATTCACCAGCAAATTGGTATTAACGATCAACCCTAAGGGACCATATAGGAATGACATTTATCGGTGTTGAGAGGTGGGAGGGGGGAGGAGGGGATGGGTGTATACTACCACAAGGAGTAAGATGTGCAACGTTTGGGGGATGGTCATGCCTTGAAGCTCTGACTCGAGGGGGGAAGGGGGACATGGGCAATATACATAACCTTAACACTTGTACCCCCATAATACGCTAAAATAAAAAATAATAAAAAAATAATAATAAAGATTTTTTAAAAAGTTCCATTTTTATTCTTTTTTTTTTTCCGCCTAGCCAACGTCAACCCTCCCCAAAGACCGGCCGACACGTGGTCCCTTCTGAAGTCTTCTCTGATGTGGGAGTCCGCAGCCTCCGCGCCTCCCCACGCTCAGCGAAACACTTACCAGAAGGTTCTGCTGCTGTCTGCTTATCAGCCGGGCTCCCCCCACCAGAATGGGAGCCCCCCGGGGCCCGAGACGGCGCCTCACTCATCTTCCTACCACCGGAGCGACAGACAGACCGCAGGAGGCTCCACA